TTTTCGTCCAAATCCGCCTGCAGGGGGACAGGCCCGGCTTGGTGCCAGTGGCGGGCTGAGGCGCAACACTTCCCGCATCCCCAGCGTGCCTGCGACAAGGAGCGTCTCCGCGCTCTGCAGCCCCAGGATGAGCCCTGACGGGGTCGGGCGCGCCGTCGGCAGGGGAAGGGTCTCCCCTTCCAGGAAGGGGTTCGGCAGCGCCTGGACGGGAGACGTCCTCCGCCGCGAGCTCGCCAGCAGCCTTGCCTTGAGGGCTGACGGGCCAGCACGCCTCGCAGGCGTGCTCACCGTCAGCGGCATGAAGCTGAGCGACGCCATGAGCACAACCATCGGCTCGAGGACCATCGCGAACCCGTGCGCCGACTTCCAAGGCCCGCATGGCGGCGCGCCAGCCCCAAAGCGGCTCTGGCCTCCACGCCGAGTTCAACAGCGCCAGCCGCCGGCACGATCCAGTATCCCGGAGCCACCCCCCGCCCAGCAGCAGGAAACAGCCCAGGGTCAGAGAAGCAAGCCCAGGAAACAGCGGTCGGGCGCCGCCGCGGAGCAGCCCGGACAGCTCGCGGCTGGAGCGTGCCGTACCGCCACGCGCCGAGAGCGCGAGGGCGACGAAGGGCCGCAGGGGTCGCACCACTTGGGCGACGCGGCTGCGGCGACATGAGAGCACCAGTGCGGGCCATTGGCTTGGGGCTGATCGAGCGGGCCGCGCGAATGGCAACGGAAACGGCTGCGGCGCTGAGCCACCTCGGTGGAGGAGGAGGAGGAGGAGGAGGAGGAGGAGGAGGAGGAGGAGGAGGAGGAGGAGGAGGAGGAGGAGAGGAGGAGGAGGAGGAGGAGGAAGAGGCGGATGCGGAGGTTGAGGCGGCGGCGGCGGTTGCGGCGGCGGCGGCGGCGGCGGAGGAGGAGGAGGAGGAGGAGGAGGAGGAGGAGGAGGAGGAGGAGGAGGAGGAGGAGAAGGAGGAGGAGGAGGAGGCGGCGGCGGCGGCGGCGGAGGAGGAGGAGGAGGTTGCGACGGTGGTGGCGGAGGAAGAGGAGGAGGAGGTGGAGGCCAGCCGGACCGTCTGCGGCGGTTTGTAGCCCGGGGACGAGGAGGAGCCTCCCCAGAATCCCCCACTCAGGAGCCCCCTCCCCCCTTCCCGGCCCTCCTCGAGGATGAGGGGGCGGAGGCGTTAGGAGTGGGGACTGGAAGGAGGATGTTGCCACGTCGCCACCGATCGCCTGTCCTTCTTCCTCGCTCTCCATGCCGTCCTCGGTTTCCTCCCTGTGATTGTGCTCTTTCTTTCCCGTACCACTAGCGCCCCCTATGTATCAACACTTTGCCTCCCATTTCTTGTAATACTCGTCATCGTTCTTCAGGCTTCCCTCTTCCACTTCCTCTCTTTCGGTCTCGCCTCGTACAAGTCCCATTCGGCGTGCAACTGAAGACCATGCGGCGTTTCATGTGTTCGTTCGTCTTTGGTGGGCTCGTTGGTATTGCCGTTTGTTGCGCATTGGTTGGGTACGTCTTTGGGTAAGGTTTCCAGAGTCGCGTACCGCGAAGGAGCAAACGTCGGGCGTATCACCAAATGTCACGTGCAATAGCGTTCCCTTCAGACAGGTAGAGCGGACTTGCATGACGTATGGCATGTCAAGCTGGCCGTTGACGACGAGAACGGCCAGCTTATCAAAGTTGGCAGCGAGAAAAAGGACGACCCGTTTTCGTCGGAGTTCAGCGACGGACATGTGAGAAAGGGGAACGTACATGCAGACATTGCTCGATTGCGTAAGCCGTCTGCATCTTCCCGGGCCTGGAGTCCCCTCGCCTTTCTTTTGCGACCGACCTCATTTACAACGAGCTCGTTCGGACGACTTGGGAGGATTAGTGCTCGCTCGAAGCTCAGGCAGGTGTTCCTACCTATCAGTCACAGTTTCGACGATTGTTTGGGGTTTGTCCCCTTTGGCAAGGAGGAAGGGGGAGCGGGTGGATATCCTTCCTTCTCGGAGGATGATGACAAGGGAACGCGTGCTCTGAGAGGCTGGGAATGAGGATAATGATGATGATCATGATGATGAGGAGGAGGAGGAGGATGCGGAAGGGGAAAAGGAGGACCAGGAGGAGGAATATGGGGAGGGAAGAGAAAGGAATGGGGAGTGAAGAGGAGGGCGATGATGCTGATGAAGACGTTAATGATGCTGATGACGATGATGATACTGATGGTGTTGATGATGCTGATGATGCTGGTGATACTGATGATGATGCCGATGATGCCGATGATGATGATGATGATGATGATGATGATGATGATGCTGATGATGCCGATGATGATGATGCCGATGAAGCCGATGATGATGATGATGGTGATGCTGATGATGATGATGCTGATGATGCCGATGATGATGATGTTGATGCTGATGCTGATGATGATGATGATGATTACGATGCTGATGCTGCTGATGACGATGCTGCTGCTGACAATGCTTATGCTGATGATGATCTCGATGATGATGATGATGATGATGATGA